ATACTGCAGTGAGAGATAGGGGTCTAGTTTCATGTTTCCACATGTTGAAGAGGCTATTCTTTACATGTTTGTTAAAGATGAGGTGGTTGGAGATGTGTGGGCTTATTTCCAGACCGTATACTCTGCTGCATTGGTCTACATGTCTGTTTTTTGTGTCAGTGCCATGCTGGTTTTGTGGGTCTGTAGTGTAGTTTGAGATCAGGTATACAGTGATGTCTACAACACTGCTCAGGATGCTTTGGCTATTTGGGGCCTTTCGTGCTTCCATATGAGTTTTAGGATTGCTTTTCTCTTGTTCTGTGAATTGGGACTTGACTGTTACATCTGTGGGGAACTTTTAGTAATACAGCTATTTTCACAATACTGACTCTGCTAGTCCATGGTCATGGGAATTCAAGTGTCTTCTTCAACTTCATCTTCAGAATCTTAACGTTTTCAGTGTAGAAGTTTTTCACCTCCTTGCTTAGGTTTATTTCTGGGTATTTTTTAAAAAAGCTATTGTGAATGAGATTTATTTCCTGATTTCTTTCTTGGGAAGTTTGCGATTGATATAAAAAGTTACTTATTTTTGCACATTCATTTTGTATTTTGATAATTTGCTGAGATTTTTCGTTTAAGTATAAGAGGGATAATCTGACTTTTTCTTTTCTGTATCCCTTTTGTTTCTACCTGGATTTTTTTTCTTTAAATTTTATTTTATGTGTATGCACATATTACCTGCATGTAAGTGCACCCGTGTCGTGCAATGCCTGTGGAGGTCAGAAGAGGCTGTTGGATCCCCTGGGACTGGAGTTACAGACAGTTGTTAGCTGGCATGTGGGTGCTGGAATTCAAACCTGGGTCGTCTGCAAGAACTGCCAGTGTTCTTAACAGCTGAGCCATCTCTCCAGCCCCTGGATTATTTTTTTTCTTTTAATTCACCAGTGGCTTTAAAGTTTGAAGGCTACTAGAATTGCAGGGCCAGAGAGTCAGCAGACAGGACTTAGGTTGGAGAGACTGGCTCCAATGAAGCCATTGAGCAAGTGAATGACGGGTTGGGATGGAAGCAGCTGGGGCGGGATCGCCAAGTGGTCACTGGCCTGTGCTCTGGCTTGTCCTGAGGATTGACTAATTGTGAAACTTTTAACCGAATATTGGGTTTCCTGAAAAAAAATTATAAAGTCCCTAGAGGGTCTTCAAGGTCACATCTGTGTGTAACATCATGACCTGGGTCACACTCTGGAGGCCTGATCTGGGGGCCTTTTACCCCTTTCTCCAGTCAGCTTTTCCTTTGCTTCTGTCGTTTGGTTGTCTCCTATCACTTGACCTTGAGCAGAGCCATAAGGAGGGGACCAGGACTGAGCCAGGGCCCTTTGTTGACCAAGATTTACCTTCTTGCCAAAACACACGCATGCCTCCACAGTCCCAGGAAGTTCCAAGACGTGACCTGGAAGGGCCTGGAAAAGTCTACATCACAGGCCCCTCCCTGCCTATTGTGCAGCTCAGAACAGCTATAAAAGGGGCCCAAGCTGGGTAGGAGCCACTGCCACCTGTGCCATGACTTCTGTTGGTGTCCTCATGCTGATTGGAGCTGCCCTGCTCCTGACCACAGGGGGAAGTGGGTGCTAGGGTGTGGTTTTCAGGGGTATGGGGTCTCTAGGGGTTCTGACACCTTCCTGCCCTGGGGCAGTGTGTACAGGCTAAGGGGGCAGTGGTGGATGTGTTCTGATGAGTGTCTTTGTGTTTCAGATTGTGACATTTGCCCAGCAGTGGAAGAGGATGTTGATAAACTCCTGGATCCATCCCTGGATGATTACATTGATGTTGTGAAAAAATATGAGGCTAACCCTTTAGTATCGAGCAGTGCTGAAAAGCTAAAGACGTGTTGATCAAAAGTTGACAGAGGAGGAAAAGGCAAATGCCCACAATTTGGTGGTGAGTCTGTGTGTGTCTGGCCTTGGGGCCTATCTGCCTGTCTGCTCATCCCAGGCAAGAGTGGAGTTCGTGTTCCCCCAACCATCACACTTCCCTAGGAATTTAGCAGGAAAATTGAACCTTATGAATGAGGTCAGGATGGGGCAGACATGGACAGTGCTGGGAGTGGGGTTGGGTGGGAGGGAGGACCAGGGAGGAGCACTGGTTGTGGTAGGCACTCTGAACCGAAAATCAGACCTTAAGGCCTTTTATCCATGAAGCAGTTTAATGTGCTAGCATACTCCCTGAGAATGACTTCTCCGGTGCAGAGCCTTGAACAAATAAAGACCCAGCCTTTCATATCCTCTGTTTCCCTTCCCAGTTGAGTTTCTTGGTTTTCCATATATGATAACAGGCACACTCTGATTGGGTGCTCCTTGCTACAAGGTCACGGAAGGAAGGGTGTATGTGCACTCAGCACAGACCATGCTGCATTCTTTTTTTCTTTGTTCTGGGGGAGGAGGATGGAAGGGATAGGGGGATGGGTGGTGTGCTTCGACTACAAGGTAGCCTATGAGTTCTTTGTTGGGCCTGGGTATTCAGCTCAGCTAGGCCAGCTTAGACCTGCCAGGATCCTGTCTGCATGGCACCATGTGGCATCTGTCAAAACCTCAGCTCCAGCCGGGCGTGGTGGCGCACGCCTTTAATCCCAGCACTTGGGAGGCAGAGGCAGGCCTGGTCTCCATAGTGAATTCAGGACAGCTGCGGGTACAGGGAGACCCTGTCTCAGAAAAACAAAAAAACAAACAAACAAAAAACCCCTCAGCTCCAGTCTGCCCGAGTCAAGGCAGTCTAGCACAAGAGCCTGGGTACCTTCCAACTGTTATATTGAGTTGTTCCCTTCTCCAACCTGGATCTCATGTCTAAGCTTTCAAATCTGTTATTCCGCCTCTATAAAACTCCCCTTTTTCCTTATCTCTGGATCTGAAAGGGTTACTGTATGGATCCCAGGCCAGCAAAGGAGACAGCTTTCCAAATGTACCCTGATCCTGGCCTCTCCAGTCCTGGGATGTCCAGGTGGAGAAGTTGAATGATTCCCTTTCTGCTGTCCTTAGAGCAGGTGGGAACAAGTCGCTGCCTAGGCTACAAGTGTTCAAGGGGCAGATGTGGGACACTGACAGGATGGGTTTACTGATGGAGCCCCAGCTGTCCACAAGCTCACCTGGCTTTCTCTTTGCAGGAGAAAATCTTTTCCAGCCCTTACTGTTAATGAATGCATCTTTGCCAGGAGACCCAAGGAAACCACCTGCCTGATCACACACTGTGCAGACTCAGCTATCTGCCCCACCCAGGTGTCTACAGGATTCCAGTAATAAAAGCCCTGCAATTCACATGGGAGTCCTGACTTGCTGGATTAGATTGGGCATCAGGGTTGGGGGTCCATCAGGGACAGCCTGTGGGACTTCCAGCTGCTACTGCTGGATTGCAGTGTTGTCAAACGCTGCTCCTCAAAGAATTCATTAGAGGTGTGAGGAGATCACAGTTCCAACAGCTAGAATGTCTGGTCAACTTCAACTATGGGTCCCATACATAATCCCCCAAATGTAACTCCCCAGGAACACTGGATGTGTAGTAACCCTCTTAGTCTTTCAGATGAGCAAACCCAGAGCCAGAAATGTCAGGTGTCTGCCAAGGACCACACAGGCACTGGGCAGTAGAACCTGCTCCTTCTGCCCACTGATGGGGCACAGGCCTGCTGTGCATGTATCAAAATGCTTCTCTGGGTCTCTGTGTCCCACCTATGAAGTTAAAATAAGGCCCCCTGGCTGGGCACGGTGGCGCACGCCTTTAATCCCAGCACTCGGGAGGCAGGCAGATCTCTGTGAGTTCAAGGCCAGCCTGGCCTACATAGTGAGTTCCAGGACAGCTGGGGCTACAGGGAGACCCTGTCTCATAAAGACCAAAAAAAAAAAAAAAAAAAAAAAGAGGCCCCTACCTCCAGGGCTTTGAGGTTTTCAACCTGAGAGGAGAGAACAAGGGCCTAGGTGTTAAGTGCTGGGCCTGGCCAGAACCAAGAAATCAACTTCTGCCCCTCAGTTTATCCTAATGCCAACCACCCAAGTGTGGGCTCAGCTACCTCCCCAATTGGGTGTGATGCACAGTGGGGACCCAGAATCTTGGAGCATCAGAACCTCTCCTGTAGTTCTGCTCTGTGGTTATAACTCTAGATCCTTTCCTACATCAAGACCTTCATCAGTCTCCTGTGGCCTGTCCTCATGTGGTGGGTTTTACAGCTCCATGTAAGACTTGCCTAGATGAGAGTTTTCTGGGTACACACCACCAGGCTCTAAAAGTAGGGAATCTCTAGGCTCCTCATGCTGTAGAGGCTTATGCGAGGCCCTAGGAGTGGTACATGGGTGCAGCTTCTCAGTGGGGGACTTGCTCTGGAAAGAGTAAGGTGTATTGTTTTTTACACTGCTATCATAAACTACATGAACCTGGAAATTTATAAAGAAAATTTCATCATTTTGGATGCTTGAGGGCCAAAGTCCTGCAGACCCAACACTTGAGTCTTTGCTGAGGGCCCTTGGCTTCATCATACAGTGGTAGAAGAGAAGTGGAATTAGTCACAGGGCCACCTGAGCCTGTAAGTGGACTTACTCTAATACTCAGGAGGACTTACCCATCCAGACACAGCATTTGTCTCTTCCCAGGGCTGCACCCCCAGTGACCTATCTCTTCCAAATTGCTTCCCCTCTTAAATGTTCCATCATTACATCAAGATCCTGGCACATGAACACCTAGGGGACACACACAAACCAAACAGTGCAGGAGGAGACCATCTTGCCCAGAATGAGGCCAACTTGTCAGGGTCTGGCTGGAGGTGGCTTTGGAAATGAGGGACTCCCTCAGTAGGAGCTAAGGGGAGTACAGGGTCATGTGGGTACTATGTGCAAAATCTCCTCACCCTACATGTGGGACCCAGCCTAATGTGGGACCCAGGAGAGGTGTTCCACTGGGATCTTTTGCATGGGTTTAAAAACTGCAGGTTTATTTTCTTTTTGGTTGGGGAATGAGGCGGCTCAGCTCACAGTAGTTGGCCAGCATATACAAGTCCCTGGACTTGATCCCAGCTGTACAAAAAGTCAAAGAGCTTCAGGGCTTCCATGGGAAGGATTGGCACCTGGTTGGGAAGACCAGGTGTCACTGTGCCTTGGGTAATGGTGCCCTGACCTGCCATGAGTGTACAGGTGTCAGGATTTCCCTGTCTACAGCTGAGAATATTGTTAGGGTTTCGAGCCACAGCAGCCTCCTGCCCCTCAACAGGGCCTCATGAGTTTTGCAAGCCCCTAAGAACCAGGAACTGAGTTGATAAGCACCCTGGTCTTTGAAGTCAAGAGAAGCAGACTTTTCTACACTGTTTGGCCAAAGGCAGCTTGCTTTCCCTTTGATGATCTGGGAAGACAAGATAAACAGATTCCACCTTTTGACCCCAGGAGTCACTTCAGCACAGCAAGTTTTCCCTTTGATCTTAAAAGGGTAAAAAAACAAAACAAAACAAAAAGCAGATACCTCTTGACCCAGCTCCTGGCTGACGGACAGAAGGGGGCAGGTTTTTGAACTGGCTCAGCAAACTTCCCTAAGTTACTCCATTTTGTTCAGAGCCATTTTAGCAGCAACTTTGCTCCACACCAAAAGGAAAAGGGGGGCAACCTTGGGTCTTGGGAAATTGTCCTAGCCATGAACCATGAAATGTGCTAACTCCAGACATTATACATTTGACTAACCAGCTTGTTTTCACTTCTGTAATCCGCTTGCTGTCTTGGGTCACCTTGACACAGGGCATAAGACCACCCTTGTTATCCTGTTATTGTATGACCACCTAGAAGTTGTTTACCTTGACCGTCTTATTATACTTATTATGGCTAAAATAGTTGGCTGGTTTTAAGGTCACAAAGTTGGATGCAAAGTTATGTGACTAAATCACTTGTCTGCATAATGATTGGTTGCTAATTACTAATTCTGCTATGTTGTACAAACCTGATTGGTTCACAAGTGTCCTGTTTTAATAATAATTCTGTAATCCTATAAAAACTCTGACCTGACAATCATCAGGGCTGCTTCTACTCCCAAGATAGACAGCCCGGCCGGTCGAAAATTAAAATTTACCTTGCTACTCTTCTTAAAGTGGTGTTGGTGATTTTTTACGAACTCTGTCCTATAACGTTTGGAGGTTCCACCGAGGTCCAGAGGACTTCCGGGCCCATCGGTTTTGGGAAATTCCCTGAGAAGGGAGCTGCCCGGCAGTATTCTGAGGACTCCCCAGTAGGGGACCTGCATCAGCCTCGGCTGTTGGGCAGTACCGGCAAACTCCCTGAGAGGGGACTTGCATCAGTCCCGGCTGCTTCTGCTTCCTCAGTCTGACCTCCGGTTTCTCCCTCCACACCACCGGCAAGGTAAGAGAGCGCTCAAGAAACCACTTTTGTTTTTGGTTTCTCTCCTGGTTTTGGCTAGCAGGCGATCTGTCGCCATCTGGTTCTGGGCTCTGATCAGAGAAACTAGGTGGGAAAGCTGGACACAGCAAATCTTCCCCTAGTCGGGTACCAGAGGGGACACCCCTGGACCCGCCTGGCCACAAAGTCTGAAGTCTGGTCATTTTTCTGGAACTTAGACTTAGCGGCAACCTGGTTAGGGTTATTTGTCTGTGCTTGTCTTATTCTGTTTTGGTCTTGTGTCTGTGTTCGTCATGGGTGGGAGTGTGTCTCAGAGTGCTACCCTGTTAGAATGTATGTTGAACAGTTTACCTGATTTCAGGTCGTGTTTTGGATGCACCTAGTTTTAATGAAATTATGTCATATTATGTCTCCTGTGCTGAGATCTCAAGTAATTCTGTCATGTATGTCTATGATTATTGTCTTCATACATTTCCATCAAAAACCCTAAATATATTTTATTGGCTGAACTGGTTGTTTAAGGACTTTATTTGTTGCATACCTTTTGGTTTGGGTTTGCTTTCATAATATTTGTTTTAAAATATCTCTTTGGTTTGCTCGCTTTGGAAGTATTTTGGTTTTGACATTCTTGGTCTGGTTTATATTGCTTTCAGACCTCTAAAGGCTTGAGAATAATTTGAGAAAATTAAACTCCTATTTGTTATAGATTTGATCTACTATGTTAACTCATCTTCATTGCTGGAAATAACTTCTGGGACTGGTCTTCCTATCTCATCCTTTCGGTTTTGTCCTTTTCCCTCTGTTTCCCACAGCACTGCTCGGTATGCAGGCAGATACGGTCTGTTCGGGGCGGACGCTTTTCGTCCTTGGAAACTCTGCTGGCTCAGATATGACTGTGCTTTTCTCCCTTGGAACAAGTAAAATCAGTCTTGGCTTTAAAACTGGTTTGTCATGACATTATGTCTAACCATAGTATTTATTATATGAGACCATTATAAATGTATAGACATGTTTAATACTAAGAGAACTATTATTAAATAATTTACTAGATATCAAATTCTAAGTAAAACATCTCTAAACTTTTAAAGGAGACTTGGTTGTTTAAAACCTGCTTCAAGGCTTACAAGGGCATCTCAAAATTTATACAGTATAATAATATATTTAGATTAATTGTTCATATATATGAACAATTGTTCATATAAAATATTAATTACTTGGTAAATTTGTTTATAAATGTTATTAAAAAATTTATTAAAGTCTAAACAGGGCTATAACACAGTTTTCCTTAAATGACTATGTTGGGGGTTGTGTACCAATTGCTTGTCTTTACCTTGTGTTTATATGCCTTACAGAAGGTCATCATAATTGGACTTGTTGACTATTGTATTCTTTAATTAAAGGAGATATAGGCAGGGTCACTGGACCCTTACCTGAGGATCCAGCCTCTTCCCAGCCAACTGTATGTAATTTGGCCCTAATCACATATGGTCTCCTGGGTTTGGGAAGGACTAAAGTATATTATCTGGGAAAGGCTAGGAAAGGCTTTCAAATATAAGTACTCTCAGGTCATCTCTACGCCTCAGGAACTCCTCAGTCATCTCTGTAAGTAAGCTCAGTAAATTCACTGGTTCCCCAGGAAAGCCTTAGTCAAACAGTGGGTTGACACTGGAACCTTAGAAGGGAATAGACATTGCTTGAGGTTGGAGGGGAAGTCTCACAACAGATGGAATGTTTATTTGTTGATGATATTGTGCCTCATGGTTATTAAATAATACAAAGTTAAAAGATATTGGAAGGATATGGGAATGAAGATATT